GTATGACTGGAGGATTTATGTTTATGCACTCTGAAAGATGTTATTATATTTTTGATTAACACTGTGTTTTAAAAAATATTCCATAAATATTTTAACCCACAGCTTACACATTTAGATCAGTAATGCATGTGCTATTCAGAAATAATTTTATTGTTTTGAGATTATTAAGATTAGATTTTAAGATTATTAAAAATACAAATAATTATATTCTATCAAACAGGAATATGTTTTGTTTGAAGCAATACTTAATGTGTATGGCTACTGTAACATACTAATTGCTATACATTCTTATGGAAGATTGTGCAAATTTTTGCTTACACACAGTCATACTGATGTTATGGTTTTCAATATGGTTTTCAAAATATCTAATTGGAAGTTAATATTAAGTAAAATAAATGTGCATTTGCAAAATATTGTAAATTTAAATACATTGTTTCTATAAATAATTGCATCTTTGAACTAATGGTACATGCCACAGTAAGGCCTAAAAACCTTCTGGGTTTCTTACTTTATGCCCTAGAAAATACTTTGTTTCCAACAAGAATAATTACCACCTAGGCTCAGTGTAGCATTTTCTAGTATGTCACACTTCAACAAAACATTTATTTTTTATTACTGTTATTAATGGACCATATCCAAACAAGCTAAATTGGTCCCCAAAGATAATATTAATCTCCATTCTTCACTGAAGAGAAAATATTAGTAGAATCATATTATTCAAAATACTTGTTTGTTTCATTGTACAGTACCGTATGATGTACATGGAAATTAAGCCCATGTTCATGTGTGTGGGATTAGTTTTAGTCTTAATGTGTAGAATAATTTTTTTATTTAAATATATATTTTTATCATGTACCTTTTATTATTAGCTCTTGCTCTTCAGAAGTTGTAAAAATTGAATAGTACACAATATCAAATGACAAAATAACTATAATGCAGAAATCTTTTACTCTACCAGAATATAAAAACTTTTTTGTTGTCCACAGATTACACAGTTGCTAGTCCAAATACAAAACTATACAAAACTCAACAATATCGGCTACAGCTCTGGATGTACTTTTTTCACTTTATTACCAAAGATTTTAGAACAGAAACATATTACCCAGCTAATTAGTTCATTGTTAAAAATCAGGCTGTAAACATCTGTAGCAGTTGCAGTTCTGGATGTATGTTTTCACAGAATATTTAGAACAGAAACACATTGCACAGTTATTTATTCCATTATTCAAAATCACATTGTAAAAATCTCTTAAATATTTTTAGTTCTGGATGTGCTTTTTCACCTTATTACCAAACATCTTAGAACAGTACATCTTGAAAAGGAAATATTTTTCACCATTCTAATAAAGTTAATCACAGCCTGGACAATTTCCACGAATCCTTGATATGTGTGATGTAATGTACTGTAAGTCCTCTTGCAAAATAACACAAAAGGAAGAGAGAATTATGATTTCTTCCTTCAGGCCTCTTGGTGCATTTCAAAATGGTCCAGAGTGGTTCATTTACATTTAGATTGGGCTTTGGACTAACCAAAGCAAATTCTGGATGTTATTTCTTTTAAGCCATTGCTGGATATTACAAGTGGCATAATTAGTGCATTATCATCTGCAAAATGTATAATCAATCCCAGAAGAACTGAATCAATACACAAAGTGTAGCATCTTGTAGAATGTAACATTTCAACAAAAAATTTGTATTTTATAAATGTCGCCAAACTGCTCCCCCAGCCATAATACTAAGCCCATTTTACAGTTGAGAAAACAGTTGTGCATGTATCTCAAATATTCTTGATATGCCAACTAACCCATACCCATTGATCAAAAGTGATAAATTCATTGCTTCCTGTGCTGTTTTTCAATTTGGACATTCAAGCAGCTTATAGGCTGCAGCCCATCTATAAATCTAGCTATATAAAGCTCAAAGCTGAACACTAAAATTCTTAATGTTGGATTTAATTCCAGGTGTATGGTCTTATTTCATAACACATTCGAGTATTTGCAAGGACCAATTTATGATTATTCATACTTTAATATGCTATACATTTAATTAATTAAGAGAAAGACAATCATAGCAACAAATTAAGTGCAGTAGATTTTTTTAAAAGTTTAGTCTAGATATAAAAAACATTGCAACACTGTCACACTACCTTTAGTTTCTGTACCAGTCATCACTGACAAAATTAGAAATTTTCACATTCTGAGTTTTCATTCAGGTACAAGTAGGTATATAATGGATATTTTTTGTCATGTTTTTCAAAAACTTTGTCCAGTGTGGAGTTGCCATTAAAATGCCAATACAGAGAGAGAATTTTCAAAATACCTCAGCTGTTCACAAAGTACTATGCAGTAAGCACTGGACAGATTTAAGAAACCCGGTTCTATAAGTTCAGACAAGGCACAGTGAAAGAAGAAAAGTTCACTGAAAGAGAAATGATATTTGATATCTAAGAATCAGTTTCCTGAAAACCATAGGAAAACTATAAAAAATTTGATGATGATGTTAACAGGCTGCATAAAGTTTTGAAAAGTAGGCTCAAGAATGCTGTAGAAATGTAGCCTTTTGGGAAGAGAAGCACTAAGAATGCCCTTATTATATAAATAGAATATAGCAAAGAGACTAGCTTTTGCAAAATATCATTTATCCTACTGTCTGAAACAATGGCACAAGGAGATTTAAACATTTAAATCTAAATTTGAACTGTTTAGTATCACCAACATGCATATGTTTATTGAAGAATCAATGAGAGATTGCAGAAGGAATACCTTGTGCCAGTAGTTAAGCAGCCAGAAGGCTTTGTGGTGATTTGGGGCACAATATCTGCAAGTGGTATTGGTTATCCTCTCAAAATTGATAAAATCATGGATCAGCATAGATACATCAATATATTAGCCTATTATGCTATACCATCTGAAAAGAAACTGATTGGGAAAAAGATAATTATAATAAATGGAGACCTCCAGCAAATGGAGTGCTCAAAGTGTGTAACATTCCTTAAGAATGACTGCATAGCCACTTTCAGCATGGACATCAGTTCCTCTAGCAGCTGAAATTCATACATGCTAGCACATGTTAAGTTCCTGCTTGTGCTCGCTCATGATATTCTTTACCAAAATTATGTTATCTTGGGCAAAGCCACTATGAGGTTCAGGTTGATGCAGAGCATCAACACTGCTCCTCTCATAACAAGAAGGCTCTTGTCTTCTTCATGGTATATCATGTGTGGACTGTGATAGCAACCATACTTCTTAAAAATTGGTTGGTGAACATGGTCCTCTCACCATAGCTCATCTCTGGCTGCTTCTGATTGGCTTATCCTTGGAAGGGTACCAAAAGTGCTGGATGCAAACTGCCTCAATTGGTCTCAGTTGAAAGGCTGGAGAAGCACTCAACAACCAACAGATTGTCTTCTGTCCTGAGATCAGTCTGTCTATTTTCTTCTGCTAATGTTCTTATCATAAAGCAGAGGAATTTCTTAAATATTTATCTTGAAGTACAAAAGAAAAATTATCTTGAGGAAACAAAAATATAAACTTAGGAAAATTCAAAAATTTTGTAGAGGTGAAATACATACTGTAATAAGGTAAGTATGTAATATACTACACTACTATAGTGCAAAAGTTATTAAATAAAGCCTGAATACAGTTGTTTTTTTATTTTCACACATCTTGTAATATTTTAGCTCACATCCTTGGAACTTCAGTATGTTTCTCCAAAGCTGTTGATGTGTAGTGATTTAGAGCTAGCTGTTCCAGGTAGCTACAACCCAAACCAGCCAGTTATTCGTATTGCTCGCATTGAGAGCTCTCTTCAAGTTATAACAAGCAAGCAGAGGCCTCGTAAGCTTTGTATTAAAGGTATGTCTTATTTTTTGAAACATTAGCCAAAATATACATAATTGTTTTAGAAATACATTGATATAATAGTGAAATACACTCAGAATTTTTGACTTACTGAAAGTTTTTTTATCTTTAATGATCCTCAGGAAGCAATGGCAAGGATTTCATGTTTCTTCTGAAAGGGCATGAAGACTTAAGGCAAGATGAACGAGTGATGCAGCTTTTTGGTTTGGTAAATACTCTTTTGATGAATGACCCTGAGACATCCAGGAATAATTTAACGTAAGTGTCATCATCAATTTATTTTATATATTAAGCCTGAATTTAAAAATAAGCATATTTTATGTTGATTGTGTGTTAGTTTATTTAATGGGAATTATTATTCTTATAATGTTTCTGAGTATTCATTTAAAATTCTTTCTTTAATTGTTTGGTTTGAAATTGTTCCTCATGTTTTTTATAAAAAGAATTGCCAATACATGTTTTTTAGTATATAATCAATAGTCAGTAAAGGTTTTAAAACATCTGTAAAAAATGCAAGTGTCGTGACAAAGTATATACATAAAATTACTAAGTTTAAAATGTTTCTCTTAGGTTATAACTTCAAAAGTTTTAAAACTACTGTATGTTTAATTAAAGCTGACTGCAACATAAACAGATCTTAGCAATAAATCAATGTTTTTTGACTTAGAAATTTGTATTAATGTTATATTTATTAAATCAAATGAAGATGTTTTCCAAAGTAAGCATGACATTTTAGGAACAAACAAAATATATTTTATTTGTGAAAAACCATTATTAAAAATAAAACAATGACTATTAGTTTTTGTTTTTATTTTACTCTACTAGACAAACTCCACTGTAAGATTCTTCACATTTTATTTAACCAACAATATAATTACAAAAATGTTTGAACAGAATTAATTGCAATTAAGAGTTTTGCTTAACTGTTGGACAGGTAAAAAAAGTAATTTGTTTATTTGCTTATATTTGTATGCAAAATTTTACAAATTGTGCTGAGTATTGAAATATAAAAAGTTTGTTGATCTTTATTTAGCTAAATAACCAAGTAGTTCATAATAGAGATTGCAAGGAATTGCACAAAACCCTAATAGAACGTTTGGACAAAAAGCACCTTAAAACGGTAAAGATTCAGTTCAAACAACACTTTGAAACCTTAACTATTGACTGTTAAGGCTGTACACGTATAAAAATGCACAAAAAAAGCATGCATGTTAGACTTACAAGGAAAAGAAAATCCACTCAAAATGACCTGTTTTTAATTATTCTTTTTATTCTCTTGCCAGCTACAACAAAAAACAGCTTCATATATTGCACCCAAACCTTTTTAGAACACTAAATAAAGTACTGTGAAGGTCTTGGGAGTGTTGAAAAGTCAATTTTCTTCTTTATTTTACATGAGCTGAAAAACATCATAATTCTAGGGTAAATGATGTTATCATTAGCCCTTGAAGTTAGCTTTCTTACAAGTATCTGATGTTCCTTTAAAAAGTTTACCAGCCAATAATAGATGACTGTAACATGTAGATACTCAATGCTTTGTACACCATACAATCGTTGTCTTTAGTGAATGGCCTCTTCATAACGATTGTATATTACCATATCAAGGAAACTTCAAAATGTATTGATCTCCAGCTTAGTATAAGTAGTAACTGTATGTTTTAGACTATATGCATCATGTTACATTTGTACATATTCAGGTGATTTTGTATTTATCATGAATCATTATAGTGGTTCATAATAGAGATTGCAAGGAATTCCACAAAACCCTAATAGAACAATCGGGCAAAAAGCACTTTAAACAGTAAAGATTCAGTTCAAACAACACTTTAAAACCTTTACTATTGACACAGAAAAAGCATGCACATTAGACTTACAAGGAAATCTGCTCAAATTCTTCTTCTTATGATTATTATTCTCTTGCCAGCCTACAACAAAAACAGCTTGGTGTATTGCACCCAAACTTTTTGTAGAATACTAAATAAGGTACTGCAAAGGCCATAAGGACATCGAAAAGTCAGTTTGCTTTTTCTGTATTTTACATAAGCTAAAAAACATCGTAATTCTAATGTAAATGATGTTATCATTAGCCCTTGAAGATAGCTTTTTTACAAATAGCTGGTGTTCCTTTAAAAACCTAAGTACAGGTGAAACAGGAATTACCAGCCAATAATAGATGAACATTAGGTGACTGTAACATGTAGATATTTAATGTTTGTACACTATACAATTGGTGTCTTTAGTGAGCCAACCCCTATACTGTGTATGAAGTGAAGGAGTAAAAACAAAAATCTAGACACAAAATATTAAATATTATTACACACATTCATAGAATAAGTACTTTAAAGACACAAACGTTTATTTAAAGCAAAGTTTTAAATCTATATGTTTTATTTGAAAAGGCTGCTTTTCTACTGGTAATTTTTTTTTTGCACTTAGTTCAGTATTTTATTATAGGTACATAGTTGCCCATTGCTATGCATTATATAGAGAGAGAATCTAGTTACACAGAAACTATAAATGCTCACAATATTCTCAAACAAATCTCCCTGACAATCTTCAGCTGCAGTTTAACAATTTACATCTGGAAATAATGTGATAAAATAGTTAATAGCTACAGTAAATCATCATGCACTGTATCAGCTAGCTACTAGATACGTTTACTATCGTTACAGAGTGTAGAGTTAGTTACCATATCAAGTAAACCTTTGCTCATAGTTGAGCATAAAAAAAAAAGCCATCAAACAAGATAAATAAAAAATTGGGAGTTTAAAACCTGCAAATAGGAATTGTAAAAAAGTAAGTAAACAAGGCTGGAGATACTGTAGGCATTATTTACTCAAACTACAAATCACTATTTTGTAATTCATGTAATTCTAGGTAATAGCATGGATCCAAAATAGGGGTTTGTAGTTTGAGTAAATAATGTCTATAGTATCTCTAGCCTTGTTTCCTTACGTTTTTTAACTAATTGAAATTGGGGGTTTCTGGTTATTACAATTTTCAGTTATTCTAATTATAGTAACTGTAGTATCATATTATGTTTGTTTATTGGTAAGCATTAAGCTACATAATGGGCTCTCTGTGCTCGGCAAGTTTTTAGCCTTATAAGTTATTTTTTTGCATCGAATATATTCAGCTTTAGTGGTTAAGACAGTGGGGGTGAGGCTTGTGATTCAAAGGTCTCAAACTCAATTCTCATTGCTACCAAACTTGCTAGCCCTGTTTTTGTTATGGCAAAGCTACCAAGGCTATCTAACATTGTCACTAATCTTGAACTGCTGACTAGTAGAAAGGCAACTGGCTGGCAGCACCCATAATCAATTAGCAAACACCACTAATCATCCAGCTCTTTACAGATCAAACAAGCTTCTTCAAATGTCAGATATGATGTTGAAATTTTTTTATTGGCATGCTAGAACTTAACTCCAAAAAACAAAATATATGTGGGTCAAAATGTAATGATAAAAAAAAATACCATAAATATGACAACACATGATTTTACATACTGCTTTAAATATATTAAAATATGATGCTAGAAAAACCTTTATGTTTGTTAGAATTCTAGCTACCTTATTTCAGGAAATGATTATCAGAAACTAGAGAAAGAGCTTATCAGTGAAAATAAACTCCATAACTGGGGCTTGAACCCAGAACCTTTGGCTAACAGGTCCAATGCTGTATCCAACTGAGCTATCCAATAAGGTTTGTTAGAAAGTATACTTTCATTGAGTCATAATAAGAATTAAATGTTGTAATAATGAAATATATATGCGAGTCTAGTTAGACTCGTATGATTTAATTGGGTGATAGTATATCAATCCACTATTTGCTTGACCATGTGAACACAAAGTAATATGAAATTTCATACTCATGGTTAAAAACCCTTATGAATGAGGGGAAACATGGAGGGCTTGTACCATTGGCCTTGTTGACCAAAGGTCCTGGGTTCAAGCCCCAGTCCGAGAGTTTCTTTTCACATATCAGCTTTTCTGCTTACGGTGATGTTTGTTAGATAATTAATTTCATTGATTCATAATATGAATTATCAGTAACTGCTACACATTTGTCAAAAATGGATTGTAAAAACACTACCATAAATGTATTTTAAAACTTGATGGTAAAAAAACTGTTATACCGATTATCAGAAACTAATATACATATGCCAAAAATAAATTGTTAGAAACTGCTATACATGTTTCAGAAATTGGTTATCAAAAACTGTTATAAATTTGGCAGATCTACTTGAAATCACTTGTTTATGTACAGCATATTTTCTTTACCTGCATATTATAAAGTTAGTTTGCTATGGTTCTCATCAGTTATGAAATAAAGTTTAAGGTCTATAGCTAAATTAAAAAAATATTACTATTAAATGTTAGAATTTTAGCTATAGCAGCTTTTTTCCATAATAAGCCTCATTTATGTAATGATATGTTTCTTTAAAATCTTAATCAAACACATCCCAGTTGTTATGTTTCTTTAAACTTTTAATCAAACACATCCCAGCTGTTATGTTTCTTTAAAATCTTAACCAAACACATCCCAGCTGTTATGTTTCTTTAAAATCTTAACCAAACACATCCCAGCTGTTATGTTTTTTATAATCTTAACCAAACACATCCCAGCTGTTATGTTTCTTCAAAATCTTATCCAAACACATCCCAGCTGTTATGTTTCTTTAAACTTTTAACAAAACACATCCCAGCTGTTAACAGATGCAGATTAACAGAATAGGTTTAAATGAAACAGTATATTTAAGGGCTCAAAGTGTGGGTATTAGTAATATTTAAGACATATGCAATGTTAATATGTTTAAACTAGAAACTATATTTACTTTCAGTTTCCTGAGAATTTTGGATTATAAAAATTACAGATACACATTTCGTTCATTTTTATTTTATAGGATTCAGAGGTTTTCTGTTATTCCACTTTCAACCAATAGTGGTCTTATTGGTTGGGTTCCTCATTGTGACACACTTCATACGTTAATTCGGGACTATCGAGAAAAGAAGAAGATTTTGCTCAATATTGAGCACAGAATCATGCTTAGGGTTGGTTGTTAAGTGCTTTTTTTATTTCACTAAATTTTGATGGTTTGCCATATAATCAAAGGACTCAGATTAAGTACTTTTTTTGTGTGTTTAAAATAATGTGATATTGAAATAAACTTGAAAAGATATCAATCAAACTATACAAATATATTTGACAAAAATATTATGGATATTTATATATTTGTTGATTAATCGACACTTTTCCATAAACTGTGAAATTATCATGTTTTCCAGTGTTGTTTTAAATAATTAGTTTTTCATTTCTATAGACATTTGAAAATCATTTTTCATATGAGCATATTTCTATTGTGTATGTATATATATATATATATATATATATATATATATATATATTAATTT